AACTTCATATGTCAAATTTTCTGAAGGTGTTAACATCATAGATATTTTTACGCTTAAAAATGTCGAACTTTGTGCCAAAAAAAAGAGCATTTGCGGGAAGTTTTAATTCGTTACTTTATTTTGAAGTGCTGCTGAAAGTTATTGTATACTTCGGGAAGCTTATGGTGAACATGGTCCATCTCAAGATACGTGTGAATGCTGGTTTAAACGCTTTAAAAGTGATGATTTCGATGTGAAAGACAAAAAACGTCCAGGTCAACTGAAAAAGTTTGAAGACCAACAATTACAAGCATTATTGAATGAAGATGCAAGTCACACTCAAAAACAACTTGCAGCCAAAACCGGTTTGGCTCGGTGGATAGAGCGTCGGCCTGCGGACTGAAGGGTCCCAGGTTCGATTCCGGTCAAGGGGCATGTACCTGGGTTGCGGGCACATCCCCAGTAGGAGATGTGCAGGAGGCAGCTAATCGGTGTTTCTCTCTCATGGATGTTTCTGGCTCTCTATCCCTCTCTCTTCCTTTCTGTGAAAAATCAATAAAATATATTTAAAAAAAAAAAAACAACTTGCAGAAAGATTAAACATTGCTCAGCAAACAATTTCTAATCGTTTACAAGCAATGGGAAAGATTTTAAAGGAAGGAAAACGGGTGCCACATGAACTGATCGAAAGACAAATGGAAAATTGTAAAGTCATCAGTAACATGTTGCTTCAACGGCACGAAAGTCTTTTTTGCATCGAACTGTGACTGGTGATGAAAAGTGGATTTATTTTGAGAACCCCAAACGCACAAAATTATGGGTTGATCCAGGTCAAACATCAACATCGACTGCAAGGCCAAATCACTTGGGAAAGAAGACAATGCTCTGCGTTTGGTGGGATGAGGAAGGTGTGGTGTATTATGAGCTTCTAAAACCAGGTGAAACCGTTAATACTGATCGCTACCGACAACAAATAATCAATTTGAACCACGCTTTGATCGTGAAACGACCAGAATGGGCCAGAAGACAGGCAAAGTAATTTTGCTTCATGATAATGCACCATCACACACTTCAAAATCAGTTAAAGACACATTAAAAGATCTTGCCTGGGAAGTATTAACCCACCCGCTGTATTCTCCAGATATTGCTCCTTCAGATTACCACTTGTTCCGATAGATGGCACACGCACTTTCTGAGGAGCACTTCAAAACGTACGAAGAAGTGGAAAATTGGGTCTCTGAATAGTTTACCTCAAAACAAGAAAAGTCTATTGGGACAGTTTCCACAAATTACCTGAAAGATGGGGGAAATGTGTAGCTAGTGATGGACATTACTTTGAATAAAGCACTTTTGATGTTTCTCTTAAAATTATCGTGTTTTCTTTGATTACAAAATCCGCATTATTACCCGTACACCTCGTATTGGGGAAGTTACAAAACATGTCTATAAAAATGAGATATAGGGTCAAGAACCATTGCCCTAAGTAAATATATAAAAGAATATTCCCCACAAGACTGTTTAATAAGCAAACAAATGCAAAAACTAAAATAACCAACAAAAACTTGACATAATCACATAATGGAACACATACCATATTGCAGTACAAATAAAGAAACTAGAACTACCTGAATAAACACAAACAAATTTTAGCAAATTGAGTGAAGAAAGCTAGAGATACAATCATCATATTTAAATAGTCTTAAAACAAAGAAAAACTATATAATGTTCACGGATGTAAAGGTAGGAAGTATAAACATGGATAGGATGGATGCGTATCAATTTGGGTCAGTGATGAGGAATGAGGAAAAGGGTGTAGGAGGTATATAAAGTACTATGAGAAAGCTTCATTTTGTTTTGCAGTTTTATTTCTTCAAATTGGTAATGGATGCATGGATATTCATTATATTGTGTGTTGCCAATACTTATATTGCTATATTATTTGTCATTTCACCTGAATTGGCAAAAACTGTTGGGCCAGCCAAGTGTTTGAAAAACACTGCTCCCGAGGAAAGGATTTAGGAATAGATGTCAGAAAACTCAGCTTCAGGTCTCAATTCTGCATCTTACATATTGTGTAGCTTTAGGCAATTTGAATAATTAAGTACTCTGGGCTTTATTCCACCTGTATATGACATCGCTTTTCCCCTCTAACTCACAAAGCTGGTTGAGAGGCATATAGAGCAATGTATGTGAAAAATTTTTAACAGGGTAGGAAAGGCAGGCATAATTTTTGAGCATTAAGAGCAAATCTTTGGATATATTACAAATAAAATCTATCAGTAAATAAACCAACCAAGTTAATTTGTCACTCTCTTTTCTTGTCATCACTGATTCTAAAGATATAACCAATCTTAACATGGAAGAAACTTTGTCTACTAGTATAAATTCCTAAATGCATATAGATAGGCATTCCCCCTAATATAACTACTTTATGCCAATTCTTCACCAAGAAATTGAAATTCATAGCATCAAAACAAAATAAGAGAACTGCACTAAAAAGTACTATTTAAATGAAACAATCTGTCACATACCAGAGTAACTGTTGATTCTTATTGCCCTTACTATAAAGTGAGCAGGTGGCATGTTTTATTAGCCCTATATTACAAATGAAGAAACTGACTCAGATGTGGGATAGCTGGCCTGTAGACCAATTCAGTGACAGAACTTGGAACAGACACTAATTGCCTAGTTCTTCTGTGTCCATTAAGCAACCAAAACATTTTGTCACAGGGATACAGAAAATTCTTTGTCAGATGTTATTTCATGCACATTTCAAAATGGGCAAAAATACTCAAGAAAACAAGCCACTTACCTACAGTACCATACAGTGAGGGACAAAATTAGAACTGCCTTGCCTGGTAAAAATCTAATCCCATCCTTGCCAATTAACCTTATTAATACTACAGTAAGAGAAAAGAGAGATCAACATATGGATGAGGGTGCTACTCATTTCCTCCTGGATCTCAAAAAAACATAGCAATTATTACACAACAGAGATTTTATATTTTTTATTAGTGGAAACGTGGCTATCTCCACTGTTCAAGTAACCCACTACCCCTACTCCAAAAATAGAAATTGACCAACAAGCAAAGAGTTGGCAGTACCCAACTAGAACACTGCAATTATGATAACTATCAAAACACTGGTAATTATTAGATATTAGACATATCACCCATTTATGCTATAAAGAGACAAACTCTTTATGGAGAAGAGTTCATTTTCTTTGAAGTCTTCCTGTTAAACAGATGAATACTATTACAACAGGTACCTGACTTTTACTCAGACCCAGTAGGCTTCAAATGCTGGCAGAAGATATCCAAAATTCATTTTATTAATTGGAGCCTTAAAAATCAATAACTCATCTTGTGGATCAAGTATCATACAGTAACATCTTTTCATAAACACCCAAAATTTAAAGACCACCCTCCCTGTGTCCCGTTATTCACCCCTTTGCTTACCAAATCCACCTCACACTGACTTACAACAAAGCATCGTCTAAAACAAACTATGCTCTGGCATTGCCAGAAATTTCACCCTAGTAGACCATCATGAACATTTTTGTTTTAAACAAGAAGCTGGGTTCAATTCTCTTTACAAAAAAGCCCTTCACAACAATACAATCTAACTTGAAAAGAACTTTCGTTTCAGGATTAAAAAGCAAAACACCCAAACATCAACTCCAATTTTCCGATGCAAAATTCCTCCCCACTCCACCCCAGAGTTCGCAAACAGGCAAGACTCCGGGTCACCCGCCTCGAGAACAGGAACCCCGAGGCCCGGCAGCAATTCGCAAACCCCCGGGGACCCGGCAGGTTCGATCTCACACCGAGGCTGACACGCGAGGACACTCGGGAGAAAGCCTTCGGGCTCCGCGAATCTCACCGCGAACCTGGCCTCATCTCTCCGTCCGCGGCTAGAAACGCAAAGGCGGGGAAAGGAGACCTCCTCGGCCAGGGGGACCTCAGACCTTTCCCACCCCCGGGCCGGTCTCGCCCAGGCCCCCCGATTCCCGCCGCCTCGCCCTCCACGCGGACCCTCCTCTCCCTCTCCCTTCCCCGAGCCCCCTGGAGAACCCTCCCCCAAATCGGGAGGGGCTCCCCCGCCTTTCCCCGCGCCGAGTGGGATCCCGGTCTCCAACAACAAAGACGCATCTCGCTCCCCTCCCCCTGCCGGGCCACGGTTCGCCTCGACCCGCCCGCGCTGCGGCTCCGGGCCCTGCGCCCCCTCCCCACGCCCGGCCGCAGCGGCGCAGCCCCCCCGCCGCCTCACGCACCTGCACCGGAGGGGCCGCAGTCAAGGTGTCGGGCTGAAAGGGCCGGGAGAGAACCTCTGCCGACGCGCTGTCTTCCACGGGGCGCGCTCCGCGATGCCGCCGCCGCCGCCGGACTCTCCCGGCCTGCGGGCGGGACCGGCCGAGCAGAAGGGACGAGGGCTGCTGTGCCGGCGACGGGACCGAGAAAGGCGGCAGCGCCCGAGAGGGCCCGCTCGCGCTCCCTCCTCGCCTCCTCGCGCCGGCCCTGCTCCTCCACGCGGGCTCGCGTTCTGCTGACTAACGGCCCCGGCGCGAGGCGCTGGAGCTGCCGCCGCCGCCGGTTGCTCTCGGTCGGCCCTCCGGTCCCGAGCGGCCGTGGTCGCAGCTGCCGCCGCCGCCGCCGCCACCACCACCGCCGCCCTTTCTGGCACTGCAGACGCCACCCAGACCCAGCCAGGTGTTCCTTCTCCTTAATCCTCCCTTCTTGCTCCTGTTCAGCCTGCCAGCCGCTGGGCTCGCCCTCGTGGCGGGAGGGAGGCGGGAAGGGAACCGAGGGGCACCAGCAAAAGACTCGCTAAGCCAGGACTTGGTCACTGACGGGATGAAGATGCCAAAACTGACCCGGGCTCCAGCCTCCGAGCAGGCAGGGGGAGGGACGCCGTCCAGTTTAACCCGATTTCCACCAATCACAAGCCGCCCAGCGGAGTCGGGCGCCAGGAGAGGCTGAGCTGAGTCGGCAGGAGGCGGGGATTGCGGAAAAGAAGGGCCAATGGAAGCAAAAGTTCCCCGCCCCTCCGCCTTGATGGACATCCACGTTCGGACCAATGGGGGAATTGTCGCTTCGAAGAAAGCGGGATTTATCTGCGGAGTTGGAGAGAGAGGGTGAGCGGAGGGATCGAGTCTTGGCCTCGAAGAAGAGCCTCAAGTTGCCGAGGGACCGAGGATGTCCTTTGACCTCCGCGCGGCGTCACGTGGACTGACGGGGGCGGGGCGAGAAAGCTAGATCAGTTCCTTCCGGGTCAGTGACAGGCGTCCTCTCCACGAGGTCGTTCGTGGCTTCTTGAATCTTCCTACTCCCAGCGTTTGGTGGTTGTGATTTCGGCGATGAGCTCCCAGAGAGGGAACGTGGCCCGTTCCAGGCCTCAGAGACATCAAAATACGTTTAGCTTCAAAAATGACAAGTTTGATAAGACTGTTCAGACCAAGGTAGGACTCTGCCTGTCGCATTAGATCTGACTCCAGGAAGGGATGGTTCAGTGGAGGGGAAAGAGGAAGTGAGAGGAGCTGGCGAGGGCGAGCGTGGACCGCAGCCCAGAGTTAGTTTTGGCTGCAGTGCAGCCCTTTCTGAAGTGATGTTCCCACACCCTTTCTTTGACCTGGATGTGTTGTCTCCTCATGAATGTGTTTGGCAGTCAGCACTTCACTGATTGCACAAAGAGTGAATGGGTCCCTCATCAAACCTTTAAATGCAAATGGGTAAATTGAGCTCCCATCTGGATCACATATTTACAGTAGGAAAATGAGGATTGTGGCACGAGCGTCTCCTAAAATGTTGTGCCAACTTTATGCAGCAATTGTTTGTTTTTGGAAAACCCCACGTCCGTATGTGTGTAGGGAGAATGGGAAGGATTAAACGTTCTCAGCCCCGGTGCTTTCACTAACATAATGGGGATACGTCTCTTGTAAAGGTAGTTTGAGGATCGAATTGTTTGAGTAATGTAAAAATGCTTGTTTTGCTTTTTATAACTCATTTACTTCTTTAGCGGGATTTCTGCAACCTGCAAGAAAATTAAGACTGTCTACATAGCCACAGGTCCTGGGTTTTTATAAAGCTCCTAATTTGCTGTAGGTGTCTCCCCCTCCAACTTCTCCATAGCTGTATGGAGAGGAGATCATTGGAGACAAGGGCATCTTGGGGGCCACCTTCACATCAGATGAGCCTGATATTCACATAATCTGGAGTTCAAATTTACTAGGTGTGAAGCTTAAGTAAATTATTTTAATATTTAGTTTTTCTGAGCCTTACTTTAGTTTCAAATGAGAAACCTGGCAGGATTGTTGTGAGGCTAAATTAAATGATGTATATAAAAGGTCTAGATCATAATAAGTGTCCAACAAGTGATTAATTTCTCAACATTGAAATTAATGTTGGAAGCAAACTGATATAGTAACTCGGGGTCCCCTTTTCCTTTTCTCTTTCTGTCTTCACTAACTACAGATATTTAATGAGTACATTCCATGTACAAGGCCCTGTGCTTCAGTGCATACAATGTTAAAAAGAGTTGATATTGCTTATAGTTTACTGGGTCATTGGACAATAAGCAAGCACAAAGATGTATTGTTATGAATTATAATACATTCGGATGAGGGGGGAAGACAGTTCAGTAAAGAAGAATAAAGAGGGATATTTTCAATTAGGTGCTCAAAGGACCTCTTCTTTTCCTTAGGTTCAGATTCAGGAAAAAAACAAAACAAAACTGAAGCAACATTTGGGAATGTGGCTTTTCTCAAGTTTGTGTCTTAACATTAGGTAAACCTAAATAAAAGGCTGTGTTAATCCTAATAAATGACTGTCTGGTCCTGTATTCTTACTGTAAGTTTTGGCACAAGCAATTCTGATTGTTTTTCATCAGATGATAAGGCAGTTTTAATAAGTATTTAGCCACTATGTACCCTACTGTGCTTCTTGTACTTGTAAGTACAAGGCTTCTTGAACTTGTACTTCTTATGCTATCAGTTCTTTGTAGACTTCTTATACTTCTCATTGTCTGTTTCTTGGTGTTATCTAACAGCTGTGGCATTATAGTCTTAAATCTTTTCATGAGTCTCAAGTTTAATCACTAAGTTTTATTTTGTTTATCACTTTTATTATTCATTCCTTTGCTTCTTTTAAATTGTGAAGAAGTGCCCTGGCTCGTGTGGCTCAGTTTATTGGGCGTCTACCTGTGCACCAAAAGGTTTCTGGTTTGATTCCTGGTTAGGGCACATGCCCAGGTTTCGGGCTCTATCCCAGTAGGGGGTATGCAGGAGGCAATCTGTCGATGTTTCTCTCCCTCTCACTCCCTCTCTAAAAATCAATGAAAGTATTTATTAAAAAAGGTTTTTTAAAAATTGTGAGAAAGCCTCATTTGTCCATTGGTAGAAACACCAGGTGTTTTGTTATTGGAGATGCTGGCAAAAACAGCAAGAAATATTTTACTGAGGCAAGATCATTAGATTGATTGTTCGTCTGTCTAATGGAGGACTAATAATTGGCTGCATTTATAGCAAGTTCTTGAGCCAGTTAGATGCCGCTATCTAAAGCCAAAATTTTGTCGCAAGCATCTGACCCTGCTTTCATTCCTATGCTTTATTTCAGAAAGCTATTGGATTCAGTGACATCTAACAAAGAAAGAGTAATAGCTGCATGATCTTCTGTAACTCTCCTTAAAGGATTTTAGTTACAATTGATTACTTGTACCTCATTATTTTGTAGGAGATCTGCATTAGTTCTCCTTCTCCTTCTCTGCCAACCAGTTTGTCAGGACTTCACTGAAATTAGAAGATAGATAATGACAGATGTTTTATCGGGAAATTTATATAGGTAAAGCACCCATTCCCAAAAGTACAGACGGATAGCTGTCTTCGTATACTTGAATATTTTCTAGGAGAGTAGAGAAGCTTGTTCTGTGGCATTCTTTGTAACCAAACTTAGACCAACGGGTCAAACTAACAGAGGTAGGTTTTAGCTTAATATAAGGGAGATGTCTAATAGTGAGGAGCATGCATAGGATTTTTAAATTTCCCCTTGACTGGGATTATTTAAAAGAAGTCTCTATCGCCATTGGCCGGTAGTGCTGTCTTGGGACTTGAAGAGGTGGGGTGGAGGTGGAAATAGGATTAAATCTCTTCTAGTCATTTGGTACTGA